AGCGCTCCCCCCCCCCGGAGAGCTGCACACTGAACTCGGCGGTATGAGAATAAAAGCGTCAAGAGACACGAGGAAATATTGCAGCTACAACAGAGCAAGGAGGGTAAAGGGGGGGGGGAGCCCTGAAACGGTCTGAAAAAGGGAGGAAAAATCCCTTCTTTTCAATAATCCTTGAGCTTTTCCTTTCCACGCTGTCCTAGTCCCAAAACGTTTCCTTTCGCTAGGTTACAGAAAACAGCTGGAGAGAACTGAAAGGGGGGCAGCCATGGAAAGAAAGAGCTCCCATCCCCGTGCTGCAGGAGCACACAGGAGGAACATTTCAGCAGGGAAGAACAAAAAACGGGAGGGGGCAGATAAAGCCCGTCCGTAGGCAGCAGATAAAGCCCGTCCGTAGGCTGCGCCTCGCAGCCCCGAGGGAGCGGAGCCCTGGCCCCGCAGTCAGCGGCGCTGGGAGCCTTCAGTCACCCGGGCAAGAGGGATAACAAAGAAAGTGTCCAAATATTTTATTCGTCACAAGTTACATTAACCACATATTACTTTATGGAGCATTTACAAATCATTCTTTTCTTGGTATTAATCTTCAGATACACCTGCTCACTCACACCGCCAGGTCTCCTGAAAGGGCGTTTTCTATCTCGCACCTACCCGCCTGTTTTTGCCCAGCAGTCAGGCCGTGAACACGCCTTCCCCACCACAAATCAAATAACTACTTTAAAAACAATTCCGAGGTCGATGGAAGAGTCTCTGGCCTCAACTAGTGACTTCTAGTTTAGGGGAAGCGGCCAGAGCTTTCTGCTCAGACCCAGGAAGGACACGGGTAACTCTAGAGGGGTGGAAAGCTGCGGGTCCCTCGAGCCGGCTGCAGGAGCTTTTCCCCCCTCACCTCACACACCCTGTGCTGGGGCCAATCCCCCCACGCTGAACCAGCAGCCGCTTGATTTCTTACCATCCAAGCAGCATTTTTATTCCTCCTGCTCTCTGCTCAGGCGCCCTCTGTTCCTACCGTTAAGCACAGTCAACCAGGTTGATTACTTACATGCATAAAAGATTAAAAAAGCAGAAAAAACCCCCCTTTAAACACCAAAAACATCATATCTTTCTTACTGTCCACCTGACTAGTTCACAGATTGGATCACTCCAACAACATAGCCATAATTACTAAACACTAGACAAGTTTTGTCGGGACTGGGAAGGAACCCCAAGAAGCGTACCTGGAAACACTCACTAGGGGAGCAGTCGCACGTGGGCACGTTCTACCTGGCCAGTCCCAACCCCCCCCGCCACATTTACACTAACCTCTGAGAGGCGACCACCAAATCCCCGAGTATTGACGACACTGGCCACGCTGCTACAGACCTGAATGAGAAACGCAGTGAATCTAATCAACAGAAACCCTGTTCCTGGAGGCAAGAAGATCCCCAGATCTCCAGAGTGTTCAAGCAGTACTGTCTCGTAACCGGCAGGAAGATTGAACGGGGCAGGACGGGGGTTAGGTAGGACTCGAACACTTCTTTGAAGTGGCACGTGGGCAGAAAAGTGAAGACGTCCTGTAGTGAAGAGTGCATCGTTCTTCAAAAACGGGTTAAAAAATTCCCATGTAGCAAATAACATAGAAATGTAACAGTGTAGTTAATTTTCCGAGTTTCTTTAGAAAGACTGTCGATGCTGGTTTGTGTTCAGCTTGCTGGATCTTCCAGAAGAAAAAAAAAAGACTAATGGAAGGGATGAGGGGGAGGAGCGGGGACGAAAAAAAGGAAAGAAAGCGTGAATCTGTCTTTAACATGCAGGTCATATAAAGTATTTTGTTTTTCCATTATTTTTTTCCCCCTCTTGGACACTTCCAACTCAAGAAATGGCAACACGCACATGGCTTCCAGTTTTTAAAGCAAAGAACGTAGTTCCCACGGACTGCGCTGCAGAGACAGAAGACAAGACATTTGCAAATTCAATCTTTAAAGAAAATAAAGCGTCCCTTTAACCACCACGAACACTAGCTAATGAAACTCGTTTGGCAGTCACACAAGGTGTGAGGGAAGTTCTTATTCACCACTCCTCAGGGCTGAGCCTTGCATCTGAGGCACAGCACCAGCAGTACTGATGCAGAGAACCCAGGCTGTACAGGGGGGAGACACACCAAATTGCTAAATTAAGGCACAAAACAGATATTGCAGCCAAAATACATAAATT